AAAAAAAAAGTTACTAAACTATTTATTAAATTAAACCGATCAAAAAATGTACCTTTGTTCTTTTTCTTTTCCTTTTTGGTTTTTTACTTTTTGAGCAAATAGAGTGAAATTGTTAGTAGAAAATTAACAAAGTAGATTAAATTGAAATAAAAGTAAAAAATAATAGATGAATTTAAAAATATTTAAAGATAATAAACAGAAAAAAAAAAAGTTACTAAACTATTTATTAAATTAAACCTATCAAAAAATGTACCTTTGTTCTTTTTCTTTTCCTTTTTGGTTTTTTACTTTTTGAGAAAATATTGTACAATTTAAGCTATAATATATTATACAATATTAATTATTAAATAGTGTAACTCTAGAAATTTGTGGGCCTCGCATGTTTAATAGTTTCTATTTTACCGTTAGCTACAATTTGAATTTCAAAACAAGATTTTTTTTTCTCTTTTCACTTTTCCCCGGTAAAGATGATGTGTATAGATTTGGTTTCTAAGCAAAACAAAGAGGCAGAGAGCGAAAATCCCTTCCGTGACTCTGCAAAAAATTACATTAAAAATTAGGTTTTTTGAATGGCAGAAGGTGCGTAGTCAGCCCCTCTACTTCTATTGTTGTGGCATATCAGCCTGTTTACCTCAAAGTAGTGCAATCAACTCCTCCACTTAACAAAACCCACAAATCAGCCTTCTGCTGATAATGGCATCATCAAATGTCAATCTTTCCGTCTACATCATTGTTACTTTGTTACCGAGGAATGGCTTGGTGCTGATACAACATTGGGTGAGTGATGTGGCCAATTTAAACTACAAAATTATTAAAGAGTTCTTGTTTTCTTCCTTTTTTTCCATCCATCTCCTTTCTCCTCCTTTACATTCTCTCTTTTCCTATTATAGATCCTTTTTTTTTTTTTTCCAAAATTTCAAACTGATTTTTTTTAAGATAAGTCTAAATTTAAAAAATTTAAAAAAAACTCTCAAAATATAAAAATATGAAAATTAAGAAAGAGTTTGAAATCAAAATCAAAACTTATGGCTTTACCGATATCAAGTGATTTGCTGATTAAGTCTCTAACTCTTGTCATCCAAAATTCACTTGACTTTATTTTAAATAAAAATACATGTAGTATTTATTTTTTTTAGAAAAATATTTCAAAAATATATTCATATATTTTTTAATAAAAACACAAACTTTAAAGAAAAAAGAAAAAAATAAAAAATTATGGATCCATATGTATCACTTTACTGCTAAAGCAACATCATTGTACAAATCAAAACCTTATGCAATAAAAGGGCACATATGAATCTATAAATTTTTTTTCTTTTTTCAATTTGTGTTTTTATTAGAAAATATATGAATCCATTTTGAGATATATTTTTTTAAAAAAAATACTACATGTATCTTTATATAAAATAAAATCAAGTAAATTTTGAGTTATTGGAGATGACAAGGATGTAGACGGAAAGATGACATTTGATGATATCATCGTCAGCAGAAGGGCTGATTCATGGGTTTTAAAAGTAGAGAGGCTGATATGCCACAGCAATAGAAGTAGAGGAGCTGAATTGCACCTTTTGCCTTTTTTAATTTGTGTGACGTTAAAGTTTATTTACTCTATTTTTTATATTAATTTATAATTTATATAAAAATATAAAAATTTTAACATCACTTTGATGAATTTAATGAAACAATTATTAAAATTAATATCAATTTTAACTATTTTCATATTAATTAATAAAAAATAATAAATATAATTTCAATCTTTACCTCAAGACACAACTTTAAAAAATCCTTAAAAATTAAGCTTTCTTGAATTTGTATAGGAAGAGTATAGGTCATCTTTTCTTGATATGAGAGGAAATTAAATATGGAACTTTGACCTCACACATTCAATCATTGTTCCTATCCAAAGAAACAGACCCTCACTCGTTTTTTTTGCTTGCACTTGCTTTGCTTTGACGAGGCGTTGAAAATTGAAACTCTACCATCATCCAAGACATGTGTTTATGGTGCAACGTCCTTATTTAGTTTAAGCAGGAGTTTTTTTTTCCCCTTTTTGTCTTCATAAAGATAGAGCTTCTGCGTGCAGTTAAAGTTTCTTATTAGGCCTAATAATAGAGAAAGTTTAGTGCGTTACAAGGATAACCATGATGCGGACTATCCCTAAAAGTTATTTTACCAACAACCCTAGAAACCCATTTTACTAACATGAGACTAGTGTATTAAGAGGTTTTTTTTTTCTTTTTTTTCCTTTTGAACCCAAGTAATATATATGGGTAAAAACTTACTTTGACCTCTTACTTTAATAAGTTTATAAGTTTTAATCTCTCACGTTATACTATCATACTTTTAACCTTTTACCTTAATAAATTTATAAGTTTTAGTTCATCACCTTATATTATGACACTTTTAACCCCTCATTTATACAAGTTAAAGAAAATAACTCTTACTTAAGGTCAAGTTATAACGTTCTATTAGTTCTATTAGCTGATTGTTAGCATTTCGTTATAGAAAACATGAAATTTAAATTCAATTTTATTTGTTAGTTTCGTTAATAGAATGTTATCAAAATGCTAAAAATCAACTAATAGAATTAACAATTAGCGAAAAAACTAACAAAATATTATAACTTGACCTTAAGTAAAAGTTTTTTTTTTCAACTTGTATAGGTGATAGATTAAAAGTGTTATAATATAAGGTAAGGGATTAAAACCTACAAATTTATTAAGGTAAAGGTTAAAAGTGTTATAATATAAAATGAGAGATTAAAACTTACAAATTTATTAAGGTAAAAGGTTAAAAGTAGGTTTTAGCCAATGTATGTGTTGGGGATTTTG